CAATTGACAAATCAAAATAAATAAATAAAAATAAATAAAAGCTTCTATCTCCAGGAAGTAAAAAAAAGCTGGCAGTAGAAACCAATTCCTTCTCATTACTGAGCCAGGTAATTGTTAAGTTGTGGGAAAGACGACTCGAGACCAGTTAATCTTTAGTTGCTTATAATTTTCTTCTTGGTAACTGAACAACAACGGAGCCGTGGCAGCCTCTTTTATAGCGGCTGCTTGCGGCTCTCGGCCAATGAAGGCTATTCAATTTTCCTGCCGTTGGCCGAACCAATCAGAATGGAACATTCAAACATTCAAATATATAACACCCCTCCCTAGGTGGTACAGTCCCACCAATCAGGCCACCCCTATGTTACGTAGTCACGTAAATAGGTGGGGCTTTTATGGTTCCTACTGGACCTGCACAATTCAGTCATGGTGTTGTCTTCGGACTGCTTGGATGGGTTCGCTGTTCCTCCCGTCCTCTTCTGTGAAAGATCCTGGAAGGTAGAGTCAGCCATGCCGCTCCCGCCTGGCCTTTCTGGGCTGGTTGAGTCGGCTTGGCTGCTCCTGCCAGAGTGGCTTTGTGATGGTATTCCGATGCCTGCTCCAGTCCTCCGAAGTTTTCTTCTTCTCCAGGTACATGATTTTGATTTCCCCTCGGGGCTAATGGTGCTGTTAGTTGTTGTGTTGTTTTTAGGGTTTGTTTTGTTATTTCTTGTGTTTGTGGAGGGTTTCCCCCTCCCCTCTCATTTATGTTTGAGGGGTCTCCCCCCTCTCTGGTTTGGTTATTATTTTGGTTTAAAGTTTTATTTGGTTCTTGTGTTTGTGTGGGCTCTTCCCCTTCTTCCCTTTGGTTGTTGGTGTTTCTTAATATGGCCCTTGATCTGAGTTGGTCTATATGTCTCCTCCAGCTCTTTCCATCGTCTGTCTCTACCCTGTATGACTCCTGTTACTTGGATTATTTTAGCTGGTATCCATAATGGCTCCCCCGTTAGGTTTTTTGCATAGACCAGGTCCCTTGTTTTAAATGTACGGCACTTACTGGAGGAGTTTCTTGGTTTTTCTGTGGTATATGTGGGGTGTAGTCTATCTAAACTAGATCTTAGTTTTCTTCCCATCAATAGTTCTGCTGGGCTTTTGTTAGTCATGGCATTTGGCGTGATGTGCTGTATCATTAGCAATTTATATATTTTTTCCTGGATATCTCGTTTCTAGCCTGTGTAATGTTTCTTTGGTAAAACGGACCATGCGTTCTGCCCATCCATTTGTAGTCGACCAACCCGGCGCTGTTAAAGCATGTCTTATATCTAGTTTGGCTAGGAACCTCTCAAATGTTAGTGCAGTGAATTGCGGTCCGTTGTCAGATACAACTAAATCCGGCAATCCATGCATTGCAAAAAGCTTTCTTAGTTGTCTAATAACCACTTCTGTTGTGGTTGAATACATGACACTTACCTCTAGCCAATTTGAGTAAGCATCTACTACTATTAAGAATGTATGCCCTTTTGTTGGTCCAGCAAAATCAATGTGTATTCTAGACCATGGGCCCCTAGGTTTTTCCCAGTCAAGTACAGGTGCGGAAGGGGGTGCAGGTCTAGATTCCTGGCATCGTTTGCACGTTGCTACCCATTTCCCTATATCCGAATCCATCCCTGGCCACCATACATAACTCCTAGCCATGGATTTCATTCGGACAATACCTGGGTGACCTTCATGTAATAGTTTAAGTATTTGTTCCCTCAATCTGTCTGGTATGATCACTCTATCCCTCCACAGTACACATCCTTTTAACATTGACAGCTCAGTTTGTCTGTGCCGAAATGGTTTAACGGTCTCGTCGCTTTCGGTCTCTGGCCACCCTTTACCTACCCAATTTAAAATCCGCACCAGGATTCTGTCTCTCGCTGTTTCCTTCGCAATGTCTGTTGCTGTTATGGGTAGGTTTGCCAGCGTCTCGATGTGCAGTGTTGATGTGGTTGGTGCAGGATCATCCTCTAACTCAGGGTAGGGGAGAACGGCTCAGGGAGTCAGCGCGTGTTATGTTCTTTCCTGGCCGGTAGATTAATTCGTAGTTGTATGCAGCAAGGAATTTGGACCACCTCGTCATTCACGGTGACAATATGTTGGGTGTGGGTTTGTTTCCTGCGAGTATTCCTAAAAGAGGCTTATGATCAGTGACCAGTGAAAATCTCCTGTCATAGATGTACTCGTGGAACTTTTTAACTCCTGTTATTGCGGCCAGCGCTTCCCTATCCAATTGGCTGTAGTTCCGCTCCACTTTTGATAGAGTTTTTGAATGGAAAGTGGTCGGTGCTTCTCTTCCATCGGGTAATATGTGGCTGAGTATGGCCCCAATGCCAAAGGGTGATACATCGCAGGTTAACGTTAGTGGCAGGGTCTCGCTATATTGGATTAGTACACAGTCTGATGTAATTAAGTCTTTGATTCCCTGGAATGCGGTTTCTTCTTGTCGCCCCAAGGTCCAGGTAGCTTTCTTATCCAGCAACCTATGTAGTGGTTCTGCTATCGTTGCCTCCTGTGGCAAAAATACATTGTAAAATTAATAAGTCCCAAGAAGGCCTGTAAATCTGTTTTATTTTCGGGTCTGGGAGCTCCCTTGATTGCTCTGATTTTCTTTTCAGTGGGGTGGATCCCTTCTTTATCTATACAGTATCCCAGGAATTCAACCTTATCGGTGGCTAATTGGCATTTCTCTCTTTTAACTTTAAGTCCCTCCTCTTTAAATTTTTGTAAGACTTCCCTCAAACGGTCTTCGAGTTCTTTTTCGTCCTTGGCTGATACCAGCACGTCATCAAAATATGGCACTACCCCTTTAATTCCTTGCAGTAGGCACTCCATTAGACTCTGAAATACCCCTGGGGCCACGCTAACTCCAAATTGTAGTCTTTTGCATTTGAATGCCCCTCTATGAGTCACTATTGCTTGTGCTTCCGTGGTTTCTGAGTCAACTGGCAACTGTTGATAAGTTTGCACAAGGTATAATTTCGCAAAAATTCTACCTCCCCCCAAAGAGTGTAACAGGTGCTGTACCACCGGAACTGGGTATGCGCCTTGTTGTAGTGCATGGTTGAGGGTGGCCTTGTAGTCTCCGCAGATGCGTACGGACCCATCTGGTTTGATAGGAGTCACAATTGGGGTTTTCCACCTTGCGTGGTCTATTGGTTATAATACCCCTTGTGCAATAAGTTTATCTAATTGTTCATCAATTTTTGGTTTTAACGCAAAAGAGACTCGTCTTGCCTTTAACCTTATTGGGGCTATCTTAGGATCCAAATTAAATGAGATAGGGGACCCTTGGTACTTGACCAGTTCTCCATTGAAGACGTTCTGGAATTCTCTCATCAGGTTCTCTTCCCAGTCTGTCTCAGCGATGTTGTTTATTCCAGTCATTCCGATTCCTAGCGGTTCGAACCATTCGAGTCCCAGTAAGCTGGGGCGATCCCGGTCAACTATGGTCAATGGAAGGACTTTCGTGTATTTTTTAAATTTGATCTGGAAGTGTCCGGTTCCAACTACGGGAATTCTGTTTCCCTGGTAGTCTTTAAGTGTGAGCTTTTGTTTTTTCTAGTTCCTTTCTTTTCATGTCGGGTATCAGGCTTTTGAGAGTGTTCCATGATACCATTGACAGATACGAACCAGAATCCACCTCCATCTCACATGGTTGGTCTTCTATGGTGACTTGTACAAGTACCTTCTTCGCATCCACCATGCGCTCGAGTGTCCAAAAGTTATTGTCTGGTGTGTTTCTTCTTTTCTATTGGCTTCTTTCCACCACTTGTTTCTGCTGTCTTGGCTCCAACAGCCCCCTGTCTGTCTTTCTCTCGTTCTGGGGGGGGGGTATTTCCTCTTCGTCTAGGGCTATAGTTATTTCTGTTTCAGCATGCCCTAGCTATGTGTCCCCGCCGTTCACAATGCCTGCAAATAGCATCGAAGAAATGACATTCAGAATGTGGGTGGTCCCCTCCACACCCGGCACAACAAAACCCTGACTTTCTTTCCCTGCGCTCCCGTCTGCCTTTCTCCGACCAAAGTTGATTTACTTCTTCTTCTTCCTCATCAGTTTTGAATAGGGATTCAATGTCCTCATGGTGTGTCGTGGTGGTGGTTTTTTGAGTCCCCTCTTGCTTCTTGTTTTGAGCTTGGTTAGTGTCTTTCGGGGTTTCCTGTGTTACTTTATTCATCTATTGCATGGTGGCTGCTGATCTTTGTGCTGCTTCTGCTGCGGTGGCTTCTTCTATTGCCTCGGTCAATGTTATTTTGGGTCTGGTCAGTAGTCGGCTCTGTAGTGTAAGGTCTCTTAATCCAAGAACCACGCGGTCCCTCATAGCCTCGTCCATGTTTAGGAATTTGCACGCTCCTCCAATGTCTCTTAGGGCTGCAACAAAATATCCGATGCTTTTGTCTTCCTTTTGGTCATGCTTGTAAAATTCGTGTCCTTGCTAAGGCATGAGACGGTTGGTGTATAATGGGCTCGTAGTAACTTGTCTAAATCCAGCCACGCCATTTTCTTTACATCGTGGGGTGATGCTAATGCCTTTGCCATTTTGAAGACTGTGGGTCCGCAGTGGGTGAGGAAAACGGCTCTCTTCCTATTGTCGGAGATTCCTTGGAGTTCGTTCCCTTCTAGGAACATGAGGAATTGGTCGATGTACGATTCCCAGTCTTCCATTGCTGGGTTGAACGGTGCGGGTGGTGAGTTGTTTCTGGCCATCTCGTCTAGCTCGGTTCTCGTTGCCACGTGCTCAACTGGTCTTCTTGTCTCAGAATCCCACCCTCGTCGCCAGTGTTAAGTTGTGGGAAAGACGACTCAAGACCAGTTAATCTTTAGTTGCTTTTAATTTTCTTCTCAGTAACTGAACAACAACGGAGCCGCGGCAGCCTCTTTTATAGCGGCTGCTTGTGGTTCTTGGCCAATGATGGCTATTCAGTTTTCCTGCCGTCGGCCAAACCAATCAGAATGGAACATTCAAACATTCAAATATATAACAGTAATTCTGGAAACAAAAAGACATCCCATTCTTCTCATCTGGTCCTTGTTACATGGATGACAACATCATGACAAACTCTGAAAGAGACAGGAAGACTCAGGTCAATCATGTTTTTGAAAGGTTCTCATCTTCTTCTCAATCAATGTCTCTGTCTCAGGGGGTCTATTTGATTCCCTCTAATCTATGGCAACAATCTGGGCGGTGGATAGTAAAAGAGGAGGGATGTATAATCATAGCTTTCTGGTAAAAATGAGGCAAGGGACAAAGATCCAAAGTATGGATGGGCCTTAGGAAGAGGGATAGTGTAATAAACCATCATAGTTGCATCAGGGGTGAGCTGCTGGGGGCTTGCAGAGGCTAGGGAGAACCCCTAGTTAAGATTCTGTGGGGCTCGGAGAGCCCCCAATAACCTCAGAAAGACAAGCAGCAAGGGAAAGCTCTTAATAGGCTTAATTGAACTTCTAGGTGTTCAACCAAGAGCATTTCACCCCTAGTAAAAATGTTGTAAGCTAGATAAACAATCCACTCAGTGCTTGCCTTTGAGAAAATCAGATAACATAGCCGCTAGCCTCCGAAGGGATTAATTCCCGAATAATAAGAATCACGTAACTCATAGAAACTCCACTAAGACTCCAAGTCCTTCTCACAGTCACTGCTATTAAGCCTGGTTTCACCCAGTCTTTTATTTAAGTATTAAATGCACTAAATAATAAACAACTTTTTGGTGTGTGTGTGTGTATATATATATATATATATGGAACTTTGGTTGTTCGGGTTTTCTCCCGCGTAAGATTCGAAGTATCTAGGCAACGTTTCGATGAAGTCTCATTCATCATCTTCAGGCTTCTGTCTCC